GGCAGAGAAGCAATCGCAGCACGTATGAACGTAACGTTAAAGCAATCACCTGATGCCTCAGCCTGATCCTTACCTCTGCTGCCAGCAGGGAAAGGTCTCTAAAAGACAATCTCCTGCTTCTTTTTTTTTTTTTTATTCTCTGTCTCCTTCCCAGTTTTGTAGTAAAATACTTGCTTTGTGTTAGGCACAAATGCAGTCAGCCATAAAGAAAGGAGGGGGGTTGTTAATAATATTCCACTTTATCAATCAGGAGAGCTCTCATTTTTAGTACACTAATATTTAATACAGCAGTAAAAAGACAAGCACAATTATACATACTCATACACATTCCAAGGACAGGGCATGGCTATTTTTCTCTCCTTTAAAAGGGCAAGGAAAACAGGTTTACCATACTTGGACTAAAACCATCCTAAGCTGGAACCAGTCATACCTTTTTAATTTTCATCATAATGGGATGTTCATAAAATCAATATGATATGAAGCATTTTCAGGATCACATTTACGTTTTTCATTATGGAATTGAAAAAATTATTCCACCTCCTGTTTTCATAACACTGGTACCACAGCATTACACAATTTTGCTCAAGAGGATGTGAAATGTTAAAAAAAGACAAAACACAAAACCTGAGTTAAATACCTGAGTTAATTCCTTTGCCTCCACTCTTAACATTTAACACCCTATCTTCTGTTATTTATAGAGAACTCCTCTTACTCTCATGGTCAGAAACCTGAATTGTCAAGCTGCAAAGAAAAGGTTATCACTTCAATTCATTTGTGGGTAAATTGCTCAAACTTAGCTGTCAATCAACAGTCCACTCCAGCATCTGAGCTGATTTGTATCTATCACGGGTGTTTACTTGACAGATTCTCACAAGCAAACTGGAGCAGAGAAAATGTGTCTAATGATAACATCATGCCGACAACATGTTTTCTGCAGATAACATTTGCATTATGTGTTTACTGTTTGCAGAGTGTCTGGAAGACATCAAATGAAAAGGAAGATATGTTTCTTTTTCTGAGCACATATTCCAACAAAAAAAAAAAAAAAACCAACAACAACAAAAAAAATCATTACTCCAAAGGAGAGCACTTCAGATGAGGAAGCCTAGATATAACTTTGCCTTTTCTTCCTGCTCCCTTTCTATATATTCTGTTTCTTTTCATCATATTCCATTGCCTTTCTGTCCCCTGCTTTTTTAATTCCTGTTATTCTGTTACTTTGGAAAAAATCAACTAAAGAAAGAGAAAAGCAGATGCACTCAGACTCCATTCCCATAGTTTCAGCTATTTTATGAATTTTGAATATGAATGGAGATTGAAACTAATCAACAGATGGTTGGAAAAATGAATATTCATTAATTCTGAAATCCTGTATTACTTTGCCAGGTATTGTTTGGATGTAAAGAATATATGTGCAGTCTAATCTCCACTTTTGGAAAAGAAATCTAGCAGTCTCTGTAGCTGTCCCATGCCTGATGGAGTGGACATTTTGGACAATAAACTGTGGTACATGCATGTATCCTTTGAAAAGGAAAAAAAAAAGTAAAACCAAACAAATATCTTTATGAATTTCTAAGGCCCTCTGCATGAAAATTGGCCATTCCAAAATTTGAATTTGACAAGAGACAGGAATAAAATAGTTAGTGTTACTATAAGCTAAGTATTAGTTTTGATCTGCAACTCCAAAACCCAAAGAAAAGCTGAGGCACTCACAACTATGATCCAGTAAGGAAATGTGAAATTAAATATAAGTAGTTATGAATCTATGATTTCCCTTAGGCAGACATAGATGTTTAGCAGCAATCTGTTTTATATAAGTAATAAGCTGCTGCCACCTTCTGAAAAAAACTCAACATGACTACAAATGCCATCTTTCTCACAAGGCCAGGGTAACAACATACACATTCAGAGCCAAGAAAATTGGGCAAAAAACCAAGTTCTCCTCCATCATCAATACATAAAAAAATCTGCTGCACTTAGAAATTCTTGCTCAAGAAGCTAATCAGAGAGTGGTGTCAACACTTCCACACAGAAATGTAAGCATGCCATCCTTATCCTAACTTAGGATAAGGATCCTACTAACTTTCAAACTGGCAAATGTGATGCTAAAGGAGGAAAACAGGACTGTGATGTCCCTTTAGCCAAATCCTTCTTCCTCTTTTATATGCTCACTTGCTTGAACAAGAGTCTACTCCCCTTGGAGATACCTTCCAACCACAGCTTCCTCACTATAAAGTTTTAGAAAGTGATCATTTTTCTTTTTCTTTGTGTTTTTTGCAAGAACCTGCTATTTCAGTGTCACCACCTCTGACAACCAGGGATCAGTTTTTTGGTAGAACTGGATGCAACAAGGATGGTGGGATAAGCGACCCTCTGTGCCCTGTAAATGGGGCCCCACTAACCAACGCTGGCTGTGTGCTGATCCAGAACAGGGAGCTTCTGCTCAAACAGAGTAGTTCCAAATCTTTTGTCATTCTGAGAAGGGATGACTCGGTGCATTTTTTCCTCTGCCAGCTTCAATGTGCACCATGCTGGTGTGAGCTTTATTTTGGTTTATATTCTGGAAGCAAAAGTACTGTCAGAGTGTACAACAGCAGAGCAGCAGCAAACCAGTGTCATCTCTAGCAAATCAGTGCATCACAGTCAGTACCTCTCTTATGAATAGATTGATCACCTCTCCAAAATATTTCTAAAAATAAAATAGTGGCATTTTAGCCTTTTTTTCAAAGCAAATGAGGGTTATATCATCTGACTGTCTAGCTCCTCCATCTTCCTATAATCTTTGAACGTATTGATCAGTTTCAACTAAAAGTGATGGGAAATTGAAAGTGTCAAAAATACAATTTATAGAAATTTAGAAAGCCCATAGAGCACACAGCCAGAGAAAATCAATCTTCAGCAGTTGCACTGCTGACAGGCTAACATGCTTCAATAAATCCCTGAACTACAGTTCTGTGATTTGGGAGAGGAGAAAGAGAAATCATAATCCAAACTACAAGCTGCATGTGAATTTCCTGGGCAACACCCAAGCTCCATGATGGCAGAACATTAAAGTGGATTTGTTTTAGAGGAAATTTTGAGTTATACTGGGAACATGGCCTAAAACAAGCCAAAAATATGAAGGAGTACAAAGATGTCTTAAAACCGTTCCTAATATGTCTTACTTTTTTTACTACTATTCTAAGCATCCTGACATAATGATATTTTTGATGCAGCTGTTAAGCTTTTTTCAGTAATTAAATAAATTAATGAGTCTGCTTAAAGATGCATCGAAGAATGAACCAAATGAAAATGAAAACACAGAAATATCACTTGACCTGTTATGACTAGTATGCAGCTCAAAACCTATCACCACTTCTCTACATTTACAGGTAAGCTTATGTTTTTCAGTGCCCGTAGACAGGTCTCAATGTGCCATTCTAGCACTTTGAGGCTCCATGCATCTGATAAAAAATAACAAACCAGCTGTTTTGAAGGATTGCTGATTTTCAGAGATAATAGTAATATTAATTTGTGTTAGAGAATCACCAATAATTTCATGATAAAACAGAAGTTGTGGCAGATGTAAAACTGATTAATTTAATTGCAAGAATTTCTCTGAAATTATTTTAGGAAAGACTTCAAAAACTTGCACGGGGAGTTCTTCACCACTGTTTTGGGTTGTTTAGGTCCTATCTGGGATTTTTTTTCAGGCCAGGAAGCCACAGCTTTGCACATTATGTTTTTGACTACTGCCTTTCTTTCTTTGTAATTTCTGAACAGAAATTCCATGCCCAGGATGGAGGCTTCCACAATTTCTTTTTTGCCTCTTCATTTGTTTGTTTCCTCAGGTTCACAGAACCACCAGCAGTTTCGGCGACCCACACCCAACCCCGATTATTTGCAGGTGTCATCTCCCCGTATGGAGTCATAGAACCGTCGAATCACAGGATGTTAAGCGCTCCCACAGAATGGAAGAGACCTTAAAGGTCATCTAATCCCAATCCCCCCGCTAGGGTAGGGACACCTTCAACTAGATTGCGCAAGGACCTTAAAGGTCATCTAATCCCTATCCCCCCGCTAGGGTAGGGACACTTTCAACTAGATTGTGCAAGGTCTTAGCCAAGGTGGCCTTGAGCACTTTCAGGGATGGGGCATCCACAGCTTCTCTTGGCAACCTGTTCTAGTGCCTCACCACACTCACAGTAAAGAATTTATTTTCTAATATACATTTTAAAATTCCCCTCTTGCAGTCGTAACCCCTCGCTCCTTCTCCTGTCACTGCGGCTCCTGCAGGAATGTCGCTCTGGGGGCGGTGCCGGGGCGGGGCCCGCCGGAGCTGTTCGGGGCGGCGGGTGCTGAGCGCGGCCGCTCCGCCTGGTGCAGCCGGGCGGGGCCGGCGCCTCCCCGCGCCGCGCTCGCAGGGGGTGCCCCGGGGGAGCCGCTCCCGCCGCCGCCGCCGCCGCCGCCGCCGCCGCCGCCCGGGGCCATGGCGGCGCTGGTGCTGGTGCTGCTGGCGGCGCTGGGCGGGCGGGCCGTGCTGCCGGGCGGGCGCTGCGCGGCGCCGCTGGCCGACCTGCGCTCGCAGATCTCGGGCGTGGAGACGCTGCTGGAGGAGTTCCGCCGGCAGCTGCAGCAGGAGGAGCCGGGACCGCCGGCGACAGCGGGCGGAGGAGGGAGCGGCGGGGAGCGGTGCGGCGGAAGCGGCGGCTTCTCCGCCAGGCCCGACTCCATCATCCGCACCAAGGACTCCATCGCGGCCGGCGCCACCTTCCTGCGGGCGCCCGGCGCCGTGTCGGGCCGGCGGCAGTGCCTGGACGCCTGCTGCGCCGAGCCGCGCTGCACGCTGGCCGTGGTGCAGGGGCCCGCCCGCCCGCGGGGCACGGCGGCCGAGCCGGGCTGCTACCTCTTCGACTGCACGCACCGCGGCCGGCCCGTCTGCCGCTTCGCCCCGCACCGCGGCTACAGCTCCTACAGCCGCCGCACCGCCGGCATCGCCCCGCCGCCCACGGGTAAGCGGCTGCGCGGCGGGAAGGGCGGCACGGGCGCGGCAGGGCCGCGGGGCCGCCGCCGGCGGGGAGCGGCGCCGTCCGTGCGGCCGCCCCGGCGCCGGGAACCCGCTCCGGGACGGGCGGCGTTGCCGGTGGGAGGACGGGCGAGGAGAGCCGGGCTGCGCCTGCCGTTCGGCGGGGTTCCCTGGGCCGGGAGGCGGCCCGGCTGTGCCCAAGGGAACCTTAACAAGGTGTATAAATACCTGAAGGGGAGGGGGTTCCAAGAGGATGTTCCAGGCTCTCCTTGGTGGTGCCCAGCAATCGGACAGGAGGCAACGGACAGAAACTGATCCTGCTGAACGTAAGGAAGAACTTCTTTACTGTGCGGGTAACCACGCACTCCACCCAGAGGGAGTGTGGAGTCTGTGTCACTGGAGATTCTCAGAAACCTGGACACAATCCTGTGCCATGTGCACATGGGACGACCCTGCTTGAGCAGGGAGGTTGAACCAGATGACCCGCTGTGGTTCCCTTCCGATGTAACTGCTTCTGTGAGGGCTTTGGGGGTGTTTGGGCTTGGGGAGACCCATCCCTCAATATCGCTGCCTCTGAAGAGCCCTTGGTGGGGGGGCATTGTGCCAGCCAGCCGGGGCTGGGGGCTAGACAGTGGGATGTGCATGTTCACTGGCCCTGCTCTCTCTGGGGAACCAGAGAAGTCCCAGCTCCCCAGGAGCTGTGCATGTTGGTCACCTTCGAAAGCATGAAGTGCTGGTCCCAACTATGCCATAACGTGGTGCATAGCCTGAGAGCAAGCACATGGCATTCTTGGGGATGCTGTCCAAATGTCATTGCCTAAGACAGCTTCTTACTCATTTAAATCAATATTTTTTGTGCTTAAGAACTCAAGACCTAGACTGAAGAAGACAAAGATACCTCACCAGTAGTCCAGATGCAGCATGGACATTCTCCACAAGCACTTCCAGAAACTAGGCCACATCAAAAGCAGCTGTTTGTTCAACTCTGAAGCATATTTAAGAACAATATTGTCCAGACCAAGCAGCTGTAGATGAAAACAAATCTGGATTTCTAAATTTGGAGTCTGTTTCCTAGCACCTGATTCAAAGAATTTATTTGCCTTCTCCCACCTCCTGTTGTTAAAGTCTCCTCTTAACTAATTTTGACTAAATTTCATTATCTCTGTGCACAGTACTTTCCCAAAAGTCATCTGTAAATTATCTATCTTACTCAGTGATAGATCTCATCTGAAGTAAATTAGTCACTGCATGCAACAGGAAGAAGACCTGGTCTTGGCGTGGGTGAAAAAGGTGCCCAGGTGTCCCTGCTGTTACTGCTCTCTTGGGAGGGGAGACCTCAGGCTTGAGGTCCATTCAGTCCTGCACATTTCATGAGAATACAAGAAATACAAGAGAGCAGGGGCTTGATTTGTAGTGGCATTATAATTCCTAAATATATTTTGCACAGTGCATGGGCAGGTAGATTAGACAGCTATAAGGAAGGATCTTTTGATAACAGAGATGAGGCAAGCTTAAGGTACCAGAAAAACCCAAGGTGTGATATTGACATTTTCAACAGAAGGAGTATTTGTTCCACAGTATTATTTATGTAGCAGCTTTGTGGTAGTTGTATTTCATAAACCTATATGCACTTGCATGATACAAGGCTTAAGATGAGATTTTACATCAAAGTCACACAGAATTAGGCTTCATTTTGAACTGCCTTAATTCTATTAAAATCTATGATGTACTAATTTAGGGTGCCATTATGGCACAATATAAATAATATATTGTACAAATGATGCTCTGTCTAGTAGAAATCTCAAATTTCTTCAATTCCCTTAAGTTCTTGAATTCTGGAGTTCTTAAATCTTTGACTTTTTGGCAGCTTTTCTGACTATCAGCACTGGACTTGCAAGACAATTTCAGTTCCTAATCTGCAAATTGCTCTGTGTCCTGATGGTTTTATTTAAAAGGCTGCCTTGTGGGTGATGGTGGTATTGGAAACAGAGGATTCTGATTTCTTAATGCAATTACACTGGAGCTGAAAAAAAGCCACAAAGGAGAATGAACTTTTATTTAAACATCTGTCAGATGTGACATAGACCAGGAGAGATAAAATTAAGATGGAATAATTTTGCTCTGATGTTTTGCTACCAGCACATTCTTGAATTACATTGAAAAACAATCTGGACAACAGGATGATGAAGGCACATCTCTTTTCCCTTCCGTCACCCCATGAAAGAGTTTAAGAAATTTAGAAAAGAACTTTTCATTTCAAGATTTTTTCCATGAGGGGATTACATTTTAGCTGCTTCTTTCTCCTCTTTTTTTTTTTTTTTTGGCTTTTTTTTGTGGTTTTTTTTTTTTCTTTCAGAGTACTTTTTTTCTTGAGTCTTCCACTGTTTTCTTTCTGATAATACCAAACTAATATTTACCCACAGATATGGTGCCCTCATAATTCCAAAATATTTCTGTGCATTGGGATACAATGATCTCTAAGATCACTAGTGGTGAGCAATGGGAGGATTCAACATCAAGGTAAACTAATACCAAACACATTCAGGAGTTGGCAGTGAAGTAACCTTTTAAAACAAAGCTTTCATTCAGAAAACTAGCTGGAAGCTTCGTTATTGACAGGTCCAGACTGTATAAAGGATGGAGGGAACAGAATAAATAAAAAGCGAGGTAAAAAAAAGGCTATTGTGTTGGTTCCCAAAGAAATAAGTGTTTCACCCCTTTTTCTGGAAAGCAGCCAGCTCCAGCATCTCAGAATATTGACCTGGTATTTCAGTTCCGTACTGCTTATTTACATTCAGCTCAAATGCAAGTTGAAAGCAGAAGTTAAGAGATGATTTTTCTGCTCACCTGTGGCGGGTAGTGCTTTATTCCCATGAGTGGTGGTTGCAAGTGGCTCCAATGAGTTTGCCTCTTTGGTGTTTTTGGTATTGACTTCTTATTCCCCATATTTGGAGGTGTTTCGCTAAGGATCATGTATTCCTTGCTTAAAACTTTGCTGTGGAAAAAGAATCTTCAGCTCAAGAGGCTGTCTCCTCCCATGCCATATGTCTCTATCAGGCAAATTTTCCTTTTTGCCATTGATTTACCTTTCCAAAGATGATCTGGTGGCTTGCAAGCAAAGGATGGTGCCTCCGCTCTTAGTGACTGGAGGGCTGTGTGGTCCCTCACTCATCTTTAACAAAGGGCTGGCATGAATTTCTGTGACTGACTCCATGTGAAGGGGTCCTTCCTTTCCAACTCTTGCTGCTGGAGTCTAAAGGTAGTCCAGGAAGAAAGTATCCTCATTGCTTAGGGGAATTAGGGCTTGTTTCTGCCCTTGCAGGGCATTGATCAAGTCATTTAAACCAGACAGGTGACATAAAACCCCTCTCCAAGGTAGAAGCAGAAGACTGGGCTGTGCTGTTTGAGACCCAGGTCAGTTTCTTTTTGACACTTATTTTTAAAGTAAGTAACTGTGTGAAGACTGTACATAACTCATTTGTATCATATAAAAGTTGCCCTGACACCATAATGATGGTGTTTATTAACAATTAGTTTTGAGGTTTTATTAACAATGAGTTTTGGGGTTATTTTGCACCTGGATGTTGCTTTTTAAACAAAGTTGGTTTTGAGAAGCAAGTGTATACAAATTAGGCAAAGCTGCCTTTGTCATTGGATGAACAAGAACTGTTTCATACTTTCTATTATTATACCTTTCTATTACTATACCTAGTTATTGTATGTTTTCCTAACTTTTGACATTTACCTTGAAATTTTCTATGCCTGACCTACTACCGAAAAAAGAAGAAATAAGAATTTTTCTGTTTAGTCAGAGGTAAACAGTTGTCCTACTGCTCCCATGTGCTCCGAGGCTTCCAGCACATTCATGATACTGTTGAAGAGCATGTGCAAGGAAGATTCCCCACACTGATGAAAAATCACGTTTCCGTGTGCAGTTCTGTCCACATGGAGTGCAATTACAACTTTGATTTCATAATTGCTCTTCTGAGGGTAACAACAGTATTCTTTACAGGGTATCCTTTGTGGAGGTTGAAGAGCAGGGAGCACCCTGGCACTTCAGAGTGCCCAAAGAAGGAATGAAACTCGAGTGGGGCACTGTAGAAAGATACAGTCTTTGGGTTAGACTTTTGTTAGTCTAACCCATAAGTTTGTGGTCTGATTAGCAAAAGTACTTAGTACTCACAATCTTAATCAGTAAAGATTGTACTTTGAACATAGCAAAATGCTATAAATAAATACTCTGAATATCCTAAATATTCTGAAAATCGAGCTTTTGGTATCTTAAATGAGGCACTTAAAATTGGTGGTCTCTGATGATTTTTAATAATCATGTGCTCTGCTTCATCAGGGTGCCACCTTGTGCTAAATCAGTCTTTCATTCCTATAATGATGTATTATAAATAGGGTCTAGAAGCTTATTGAATTATGCAGAATACTATAAAAGGTATGAAAAAGGTTATGTACTGCCATCTGTATGTAAGTCATATTTAGACCTATTTTCCTTAGTTCAGATTAAAAAAGTACACTGATGCTAATAATCCTGTTTGTTCTATTGGTGAAACATCCAGGTACCTAGAGAGGTTTTCTATGCCATGTGCTTCTAATGTTAATTCCTGAAGACATCATAGGACAGTTAACAAAAGTTGAAGCAGATACTACTTTGCTTAACAAAATGTGCGCTAATGAACATGTTCCTCTTTCAGGAAGTTGCACAGAGAAGAAACAATACCTTAACCAAGAAAAAAAAGTGTTTTATCTAAACAATCACTCAGCCTTTCCTCATAAATAACTGATCTTCTCTTTTTTTAAGAAGAAGAATATGATGAGCCTCCACAGTGTAGGGCAGGCCAAGACATTGTGCTGCAGTCACCTGTGGACTGGGTGCTTTTGGATGGCCGGGAAAGTTCCGATGACCATGGAATTGTGCACTATGAGTGGACACTGCTGCAGGGTGACTCATCAGTTGATATGCAGGTACATGTACAGCCCCCCATTGTGCCCAATTACTTCCAGATTGTTGTGTTCAAGTTTTAAATATACAGCCAAAAACATTAAATATATACAAATCTGTCTACCAGGCACCAAAATTAGGATTCCTGTACAACTTGAACATTTATTTCACACAAATGTAGAGCAGCCCAGGTTTGAAGGGACCTCAAAAGATCATCTGGTCCAACTGTTTGTGGGGCAAGGAGCATCAATGAGATTATCTTATCTGTCCAATCCCATCCTGAAGACCTCTTGTAAAGGAGACTACACTGTGTCCCTGGGTAGTTCCAGTGATTATTTCTAGTGGCTTACACACTTAATCTCTTTCTTGGGTGGCATGGGACAGCCAGCAGCAAACAAGTAGATAATAATACTCCACTGTATTTGAGCTCTGTTTTATTTATACTCACTGCACTTCGTTTTCAGCTTCTGTCACCCCAGTTAGAGACCCCTCAGTAATTCAGTTACTAAAAATAATAAGGGATTTTCACCACCAGTCTCCTGTCAGTGCTTACGGAGAAACTTCAAAGAAACACAATGAAAACCTTATGAGATTTTTTTATTCACACATTTTCTGCTGCACTTTGATTTCAAATTAAAATTACCCATGAAGAGAGGGATTCTTCATTTTAGTCTTTTTTGTGAATGCTCTAGAATCAGCGGAAAAAAAAAAAAAAAAGTCTCAGGTCCACATATTCTAGTTGTAGTCTGTTCACAGCCCAAAACATCCAGGGCACACTGGGAACTCCACCTAGAGCAGGAAGGATATGAAGAGGTGAGAGAGTATGAAGCAAAATGAAGCTTTAAGGATAGTTGCTAGATATCATCTAGATAAAAGGAACACTTCATTATCGAAGACTTGTTAATCTGATCCCTTGCAGCATTATTTTCTTAAAAGAACAATTAAGTACATTTAAAATTAATCTTTGATTTAGTAATGTACAGTAAAACAAAAAGTAGAATTTAATAAAGCATTTAAAGTTTATATTTTTAATTTTACTCAAAGTCACTTTATAAAATAAAGTCTTATATTCATTCAAACTTGTACAATTCACATCAACTCTGGTGTTTTTTTTCTCTTTGTTAACAGAAAATGAATTTGACACACATTTATGCTTAAATAAATACTTTTCCATTGTGTTCAAATGAGCAGGGATTTCTCCTACAGATATGTACCCTGGTGATTAACCATGATAATTTAAATTTTAGAGTTGAATTAATAGCTGTGATTTTTTTTCATGCATTCTTCAGTTGATGTCTTTAGTGCTTTGGTTGCTGCCCTGAAGTTACTGGATTTTGTGTCATTTATTCTTTGAGAATAATGTATGAATCCATAGCTACAAGGGAGAATGGGAGTGTGTTTAAATAAGATAAAAGGCAGCTGTTGCATTGCTCTTATGTAGCAAAGAATAAATAGAAGACAGAGGAGGGGGAAGGACTGCTATAAAGAGATCCTATCATATTGTAGAAGGAAGCCTTTTTTATTCCTGTTGTGACTGATTATTGCTTTTTTAGGTAATTTGCTTCTCTGATTGCTATCCCCACTCTGTTGCTGCGCAGCTCCTGGACACTTGGGGACAGTAATGGGTTGTTTTTTTTTTTTTAATGCTGATTGTCTATTTCGAGCCAAAGTTTCTGTGTAAGCAGATTCAGGCCAGAATTCTTCAGGGCAGCATGAAGAAAATAAGAAGGAAAGCACAGAGGTCACCCAGAGTGGTGGTGTATTCAGAAGTCGGTGGCATTTCTCTGTCTCTGCACGGGGAAGAGACTTGGGCTCCATGGCTCATGAGTTTTAAATACCATATTTGCTCTCCCAACAGTCACAGTGAACAACAGCAGGTGTATTTAGAGCATAAGAATTTCTTTAATGTATTAAAGAATAAAATTGTAGGGGATCATATGCTCCAACAGTCTGATCAGATAACTGAGTGCATTCATGTAAATAAAAAGGGAAAGAAATTTCAGGTAGGAAGTTTTCTCACTGAGAGAAAAAATGTGTTTATCAATACACTCTTCCATAATGGAAGGTCTAGGACTCTATGGCCATATTAATCAAAAATTATTGTTCTCTTTTAGGCATAAAATTTATTTCTGTGGATCCATGTTATATTATCTACAGACTAACTTGATAAAAAGCAAAAGGACAATATTTTACTGTCTATCCTCTAAAATTACATTTTTAATTACTCAAAAATTGAGTTAAATGTATGTGACCATTTGTTCTCCATTTGTGTGCTGAAATCCACAGCTCCAGATAACTGAGTAGATCATGAAAACATTGTGGGGTTTTTTACAAATGGATGCAAAAAAAAAAAGAGATCAAATGTTACATGCTGAAATACAACTTGAGTAGGCTGACTAGACTGCGGGAAGTATTTAATCTGCATGATGAGCTCCTTATTCCTGGAAGGTCACAGATGGATCCATTGTGCCAATATGGTTTTTTTACTGTGTGTCTTTACTCAGGTACCACAGCCAGGAACACTGAAATTGTCCCACATTCAGGAAGGCGGGTATATTTTCCAGCTAACAGTGACAGACACTGCAGGTCAGAGAAGCTCTGACAACGTCTCTGTGACCATTCTGCCCATGGTTCATTCTGCAGCAGGTAAGAGAATGGGTGGAGCTGTTGCCTCTGTGACACCCAGGGTATGGTACTCAGAGCAGAGCAAGGGTCTTGATAAAGGTAAAAATGTTGTTCTCCATTTTCAGTGTTTTATTTTGCCCTTGCTCATTACATAATGACATCTCTTTCAGCTTTGAATTGCTCTTTCAAAGTGATGAAACAAGCAAGCATCACTTGCCTGTTGGAGCAATAATACTTTCAGGCACTGAGTATTTTTCCTTCTATTGCTAATAAGCACACAGGATTGGAAGAGTGAAATATTGACACAGGTGTCAGGTGCATTGTAACAGTCAGACGGTGTGGGCATCATAACAGGGCTTGTGCTATAAGGAAGACCCAATTAAAATTACTTAATAGTATATTTGAGGCAGCCTAATAATAATACTGACCTGCATCTGTAGTCTGAAAGTGGTTTTTTGTTTTAATGAATTTAAGTTTTTCTTTCTAATTGTTGTCATTGAAGCCTTATGCTACTGGGGAAGCTGAAACTGGAACTGACCCATCTTTTTTAAACTCTGAGCTTCAGAAACATGTAAAAAGCATAAAAGGTAGAAACTAAGTTAGATTTCAGTGGCTGTCAGTCCTGCTAGTGCAGATCTGCTGCTCTGGCACAAAGTTAAACAGCATTATCACCATGTTTAGCAGAACCAGTGAAAATCTTGCTCTGCACCAGCACAATATGTTTATGTGAGAGGGTTGTCCCTCTGGCAATAAGCTGTTATTAAGGAAAAAAATCTGCTTAATAATGCCTGTGTTCCAGTAATGGATGATAGAGATGTGTTTATTAATATTTAATTCAGCTAAAGCAACCAGAGAGGTTTGCTGCTTTATTTATTTGCTGTCGTTTTTATTTTTCTAATTCCCCAGCTACATTATCAATTCAAGTGCTACTGCTGTAGCTAAACCAGTTCTTGATGCCTCAATACATGCAAGATCAGTGCTGTTACTAGTGCTGAAGTTCAGGACATGCATTTTCAGATTTTTAGGGGTTTTAAACAGTTGTCTGCATTCCTGGCATCCTTCCCTTAGTGTGGTGCAGTGTTTGGTACACAGCAGGATAACAACCAAAGGCTGTGCTCCCTTATGCACTGATTTGCTCTTACAACACTAATCAAGCCCTGAACTTGATAGTGCTTTACAAAGTGATGAACTGCACTGCTGTTGGAAAGACAAAAGCACAGATGTAAACACTTCACAATTACAGAATCAAAATGGGTTTCAGGAAAGCTTTGAGTATGCAAAATGGGGCATCCAGGGATACTCTTCATTTCCAGGGGAATCTAAATGTTAAAGCAGGCAGCAGTCAGTTCTTTCTGGTGAAAGTAATTTGTGAGAATGTGACCTAGTCCTATTTTGGTCGGTGCTGTATTGAAGTTACTGAATTGCTGATGTCAATAAATGACAAGCATTCTTTGAGTATTTTAATTACATTGCAGAAAATATGCCATAAAAGATCGAATATGGTCCAAATGTGTGCATGTAAAGCAACATATTGGTGTTGAATGAATTTTTAGTAGGAATTACTACTAAAGGGAGGAGGGATGCAGTTACAGTTACAGAGATTTAATTTCTTTGTTTTCAGGACTGTTCTGCATCTTTTAAGCCTAGGAAGATCTTCTTTCAGCTTAGGCCGCAGAATTCAAAGCACTGTAAGGGTGCTGCACAAGGTGTAAGGTGCAACAGCCTCCAGGTTGAGTATTGCTGTAACAAAAGGATTACCAGGCTAGTGATGAAGGTGCCAGGAGCAGCTATTGCCTATATTTGCTTCTGAGTCAATATGATGTCACACAGCTGAGTCTGGACTTTCTGCCTTGTTCATGGTGCTTCTTGACATAGCGTGGTTTTGCTTTTTCCTCTCTGCTGCAGATTTTAGTCACTGACTCAGTCACTGATTCACTATTTACTACTTGGATTTCTCTTTTGGTAATTTGGGAATTGTTTCTTAACAGCCTGCGTTGGGGTTTGCTCTCGCTACCAGTTTATCTGTGATGATGGCTGCTGCATTGACATCACATTTGCGTGTGATGGTGTGAGACAGTGTCCTGATGGATCAGATGAGACTTTCTGCCAGAATCGTAAGTGTGCCAGGCCACAGTGGCACAATAGACTGTGAAAGTAACCACAGCCTCAACGACCAAAGGGGGACGATGTCACTTCTGTGGCCTCTCTCCCTGTGAGCAAGCAGTTTGCTCCCAGCCTTTCATTGGAATTAGCACATGGGAAGGTTTGATATTTGCATACTCAGGTGCTCAGAAATTTTCTTCGAAGCATCTTAAAACTATCAAGGGTCCCTAAGTGACAGGTTTTGTGTTCAGCAGTTAGAAGATCAGTTTTGCACTTGCATGATGATTCTGGAAACAAGAACCGTGGTCTCTGTGTGAAAGGGTGTCTCAGAGGTACCCTTCACAGTGCTGTTAGACACCTTGCAAGAATCTGGAACACTGTGGACACACAAGGGAACCGATTGATTCACCATCATGTTGTTTGCTTCCATTAGTCATCCCTCAGCATGTGCCCATGCTCAGCTAAGAGAACAAAAGCCACCAGAGGGTGAATGGGCACAATGGCTAACCATTTGTAGTTTAGTTACTGGATTTCACTGTAGGGGTCATGAGAGTACTCTTGTGAGCAAGTGTTAGCTATCTATGGCTCACATTTCATCATATGTGTGAACCTGAGGAAGTAGTTTACTCTGCCTCAAGGCCTGTCTTGGACAGCCTTCCTTAAGAACCCTTCCATTCCCTTCAGCGTTGTACAGAAACTTTTGTTTCTGTTAACAGTCAGCTCGGGTCGGAAGACGGTGACACATGCAGCTCTTGGCACCACCCAGCAAAGGACTGCAGGACTGACTGAAAACGTGGAGGAAAACTCTGCTGTGAACACCCTGAAAGCCACTGCCAGAAATCAACCACTTCTCTCGGTGGATGCAGACATGTCTAACCAATCGCTTTCTCAGGGACCAAAGAAACAAATCAGTGGATTTGTGCCAGGTAAGAATTGGATCAGTTTCAATAAATCCTTCTCCTTAAAGAAAGGAAGTGTCTTGCACCTTAAAATTGATTTAATTGTCTTTTGGTGCCTGGCTAACAGGAAAAAAATTCAAATGTAAATAAATACAAAAGAAACCTGTAATAATGAAGTTCTAAATAGGTTTTGATTTATTATTGTCAATCTGTTTTATACTAGGTGCAAAAAGAAAGTTGAAGTGTGGGAATGCTAGGGAAATAATACAGTCTAAGGAACAAAATGTGCACTGAACTAAATAAAAATTCTGCCACAGGTTCAGCTGTGTAGGCTGATGTATTAAGGCTCTTTAAAATCTGTAGGGAGTACTTCAGGAGCACATAATAAGATACTGTTCGACTTGGGTGAGAGTAATTTCTCTTCTCCTGGTGCTAAGTGTCACTTCTCTCTTTTTTTTTTTTTTTTTTTTTTTTCTTTTTTTTTTTTTTTTTCTCCTGAGCTAATATCTTTACTATTATGGGCTTTTTTTTTTTTTTTTTTTTTTTCCTGAACTCTGTCTCCAGGGCAGGAGAAGTCTTTCATCACTGTAGCAAAGTCTCAGGCTTTGGTAAAAGCTACCTCAGGTGTCTGTGCACAGGTCCCCAGTACTGTTCTGCAGAGTGGCTGTAAGCCTGTAATGAGTCACTGTGTGATGTTACAGGCAGAGCCCCAACTCTGGCCTTGGTAAAGCTCCAGAAACTGCAATAAAATTGATGTGTCTTTTAAGGTTCATGCTGATGAAGTAAAATTATCTGAAATGGCAATTAAATGGAAGCATAACTGAGCATAGAATCAGTACAAACCCCCCACTTTTATTTCTTCATGGTTTAGACTGATTCATGTGCCCCAAGACACAGCTATTTTTAACCAGCTTTATTTTTCAATTACAGCAGAGCAGAGCTCAGTGCCCTCTGCTGTCGGCTCTGGAAAAGGGCACTGACCTGGTTGGCACCTGGACGTTCCTTCAAGGTGCTTGTACTTCATCTGTGGAATGCAGAAGGAGTGAAAACTCTGTAAAGGAAGTGAAAACAATGTTCTGAAGAATTTGATGACCTCAGTGAATGTGCGGGGAATGACAGCAAAATCCTGTCCCAAATTTTTACCCCTTTTCTGGCAGTATAGATGACCTCTAGACAACTCCTCACTGCTGACTAGAACTCTGAAGTCTGCTTCAAACCCTTCTCATTCACATAGTCTAGAGTGACACCTGATATGGGGCCACACAAACTAAGCATCAAACTTCCAAAGGGTTTTGCAGGCTCCAGTAGGAAGTCAGCTGCTAAGTAGGTCTCAAAAATCATTTGGCTTGTGAATCCAGGCATAAAACTAGAACTGAGGTCACCATCTTCAGCAACTGACAATCAAGGCTTATAACTGGAAGTACAACGCAGAAGCATTTTTGCATAATAATTTTCTGTGGTCACCCATTGCACAGTAACTTACTTGCACCAGTTTTGCTCTAAAGGTAGCTTTTGCACAGCAGTACACAAGCAAAGAAAAAGATTCTTAGAAAACTAAAGAAATGTGATGGGGCTTCCGTGGTTAGTGTACTACCAGTACCTGTTGTAATCTTCTAATTTTCAACAGGCAAGATTTCAAGCTGTTTTAATTCTTGTGAGTTTAATATTTTTATTTTGACAGGGCTCAGTCAAAATTTAATTTTAGTTGTTAATTATTTCCCTGTGGAATAAAAGTATCCAGTCTGTACTGACCCAGGAGCCCAATACGTCTAATGAAAAAAAGCAGCAAACAGCTCAGCTGCTTATAATAGGTTTAAAATAGGTTTAAAATCCTCTATGGATTGATTCCTGTTAGGGTGCATGGGGTGAGACATGAAGACTTGCTAGGTACATGTGAAGTACATGGGTACAGAGGGCAGAAACTGCCAAAAACTGCTCTGCCAAAACCTGCTCTGAGCTGCTGTCTTCTCCTGCAGACACTGAAACTTCATGGAGCCCCATGCTGTGCATTGATGATTCACAGAGGTCCAGAGAGGCTCAAGTCCTGCCCCACTGGGAAACACCACAGTCTTTATGGAGTTGAAGAACAGGCATTTAACCTATTCCTTAAAATTCACCCAGACCTATTAATTAGACATCCCAGCATCACTGCCATCTCAGGGAGGTTACTGACCAAATCTAATAATCATGTGATACAAAAATGAGAGGCACAGAAATGCTGGAGCAGCTCCATGAAGCTCATCTGGAAATGTGTCCAGGAGGGCAATAATGCTAGGTGCATTTTTGAAAAGAGATAAGCAATGCTGAGCAGAAATCATACCAGTAGCCTCAAAAGTTCAGCAATTCCACTGGCAGAAATCCTGTTCTGGGTGAGATTGTCTCCTGCTGCTGGTGCCAAGGTAGAACTCTGCCTCTGAGTCACTGTAAAGGTCTTTGTTGGACCAAGGCCATCGTGTTCTTGTTGGCCTGGTGCTGATATTGCAAACATCCTGGCTTCTTATATATTATTTTTCATAAATTTTGAAAGTAAGCTTTAACGGTTTTAATGTCACTATGTATATAAGATACACATTAGGGGATGTGGCTTTACAGTGGCAGCACAGGTTTTGGCTTTTCACTTGCAAGTGCTCCATTCAGGGCCACATTTTTTTTAATTATCAGCTGACAGTTTCAGATCATCATGGAAATACAATCCAGGAAGGAAAACATGATGCTCTTAAATCAAGTGACTGCAGGTAGAGTAAATGAATGTTTTAGCTACTGGAGACAGCATATGGCACATTCCAGCTGGCTGCTAGACTCTATGCTTGATACAGGAGCTTTGCATTGATATTTAAAGAGAAGTTTTTCCCAAGACATTGTAGGACTTGGGAGTTCTTTTGTTTTCTTTTTTACATTTGTTTTTTTATTAGTGGTGGCTAAAGTACCAGTAAAGGCCTGTCCCTTCTGCTACTTACCTCTCCATAAACAGCTTTAATCTCTGAGAATTCAATAAGGATGTCTAATAAAGGGACTTCCTTGTCAAGTACAACCGAATTTATCTTTTCTCCAAAGGAGCTGGGTTAAGTTGTAATGTTTTGGACTGTGAGATAGTTCCTGGTAGCAGATATATGAGCTTTCTACCTATGAGTGTGATCCTAAGGGAACTTTCTTCCAGAGTCCATTTTCTCTTAAGAGAGTCTCTGTTCCAAATTTCCTTTAACGTTCCTTACAGTGGCCCTTCATACTTAGCTCTGACTTGATACAAACTTTTTAAGGATTTACACTGAAGTATGAAAACATGCACGTCCAAGTTAAGGACTGTTTAAAACTTCTGCCTGACCTAACAGGGGATCTATTAGAAGTAAAGTGAAAAAAGCCACAACCAACCAATACAAAACCCAAAAATCATTGATTGTTTACAATGGGTAAATCGTGTTCTGCAGTCCTCCCTTTTCAATGGGATTCCTCTACAGCAGGGCAAGTCCAGGGGGAACACCAAGTCTGACTTTGAGATAACCCCCTCAGACATTTAGGGCACTGAGTCTTCTGCAACAGACTCATGGTCTACTTTTGCCCAAGCTGAAAGGCCAAACATTTTCTTTCAAAGCTGAGAGTGGATGGAGGAAGAGGCATTTGATGTCAATGAAAGACTCCTTTCTCCCTCTGCAGACATGTTTCCATGGTAGTAAAGTTACCCAGACTGCGTCTCCTGCAAAGGCCAGCACAGCATTTCTGCATGGCTGCCTCCAAATAGCCCCAGTGTCCTTCTCCAGGGAAGTTCTTAAGCCCAGCTGCATATTCTGGCACTTCTAAACTTGCAGATGAATATAGAAAACACTCAGTAGCAGCACAGCACTCTGGAGTGAGCAGGGGGCTGGTTTCTAAGCAGCAGTGGCCAGTAGCAAACAGGGTCACGCAGACGGGTTGAATTCACGAACAGCCTGAAGATTTGCACTCCCCAGTGCAGCCAACCCAAGTGTATAAATGACCATAACAGCTTTGCATTCCCCTGGCACAGGGCCTCTGCCTCTTCCAGCTTGTGCAGCGCTGTTCGGGGCTGGGATTACAGCATTTGACTGAGTGCCCAAGACTTAGTCATGTTTTTACTGCAGGGGCACCCACAGCAGTAGCCGTAACCTAGCTCTGTAATTTAGGGTAATTGGAAAGGACTGTAAATGGCAATTTCCTTGGAGTAGACTAGAAAATCAAGAGAAAGTTAAATCTAAATTAAACCCATGTAAAATGCTTTATGCTAGGCTCCTAAACTTCTTTGGGGAAATTGCTTGTTGTGTTCTAGAGATAACAGATAAGATATTTAGCAGCATTGACTCTGATAGTCTCTCCAGTTATGTAAGAACAGCTATAAGTCATAGCAAAACCCTACAAGCTTTATTGAAAGGATTCTATTCTTCCAAAAATTTCCCACTAAACTTTTCTCCGTATTTGCCAAATTTCTTTACAAAGAGTTGACTTAAATATTCCCTTTACTTAAATGGCAGGGAAACAAGTTTCTAAAACAGGCATTTAGATGCAGGCTGGAGCAGCTCTTAAAAAGAGCTGATGTCTTTTGGGTATTTCCAAAATAAAGACAAATATTCATTTAGTTTAATTCAGAAAAAACAGCTGCTGCTTTTGGTGTCAGTTACATTCAAGTGGTCTTGCACATCTCTGAGACCATATGGGTATTTTAAGGCCAGTACATTCACTGTTAGGATTTTTTCAAGCCCACTTTACATGCCAGGATATCAGGAGCCCAACAAGGAGAAGGCCATGGCTTGTTTCTGCAGCATTCCCTGCAGGTGAAGTCAGTGTTTATGCACCCCAGCCAAAATGGCAGGGCAATAAAGCTGCAGCCTGCAAAGCTGCCTTCTGCCTTGGCGTGGGAACATGAGCATGGACTTTCATGACAGTACCAGCGAAACCATTTAAGCTTTAATTAGCAGTCGTGTGCATTTGCTGCTGCTACTGCCAGGGACTCCTTCTGCAGCTCTTTAGAGCTGGTGGTAGTGGGTGGGACTTACACACAGTGCATGTTCCAATCTAATTGGCTTAAATACTTCCTTAGCACCCACCACTACATGTAATTCCAATTGCAACATCTCACATTCATATTTTACAGATCTTGTAGCATAGTGTGTTTCTGCTAGCTCTGTCACAGTTCTGAAGGCTGCCAGCAAACGTATCACAGCACAGTCAAAGTACCTTTGCTTTTGGTTGAGATGCATTGTGGTTTGGGATGTAAAATTGAATTTAAATTTTCACTTTAGTTTCACATTATTTCAAAAATTCAAGGAATACAGTCGAAGTCAGAAGTTCTTAAACTGTTCTTTTGTTTGTTTTTTCCCCCCAAGTTTAAGTGCTTCACATTATTTAATCCTAGTGTCCTATGGATAAGATTTCTTGAGTCACTGCACTGCAGTATTTATTTATCTTGCTTGATTTTGTGCAGATAACAGTTCCTCAGGGAAAAGAACAGATGATAAAAATGGGGATGGCATAATGATGCCAAAGAGAGATCAGCTTGGAGGTGGTCGCCCAGCCCCAGAAACAGGTAAGACCAACAACGTGAATTAATTTTGAATTATGTCAGTTTTTCAGTCAGGTTCTGTAGAGACAGATAAAGTGCACAAGAATTGAATAATGTAGTTACATATTCTGAACTGTCCCTAACATGATCGTGCAGTTTAGTTTCATAGTAGGAGTTGTTCCATTACTAACATCTAAGTGATAGACTAGCTGTATTTTTAAAGCAATATTTCAGGTTTTCTCCACCAGCGTCTGACTGTGTTAAATAAAATGTAATTTCTCTTAACCTCATTGTAGGTGCTGTGTTACCCTTAGCCTTAGGCTTGGCAATCACTGCTTTGCTGCTGCTTATGGTTGCTTGCAGACTGCGCTTAGTGAAACAGAAGCTCAAAAAGGCTCGACCCATCACATCTGAAGAGTCCGATTACCTCATCAATGGGATGTATCTCTAAAAACTGGATTTGGGTCAGTTGTTTCCTCCCCTTTCTCCTGTGTCCATGAATCTCTGCCTCTGTAAAAGGACCAAAATCCTTTGTTTATTTTCAAGTGTAGAAGAAGCCTGTGAGATGAAGAACATACTCTTCCCCTTTGGTGATAATAGAAAAAGTGGGTAGATGACCTTGCTCAGAAAATAAGAAACATTCAGGCTCCAGAGCATAGCTCTAGTTGATTGTTGTGCAGAGGATGCTGCAAAGTGAGGAGACCGCAAACTGGATGTGGGGTGCCCTTGCCCCTCCCCACAGCCAGGGCTGAGTGCACACCAGGGCCTGGCCACTGGAGCAGCCAAGGCTCCACAGCCCAGCTGTGTTGGCCAAGGTCAGGGGGAAGCCTGTGCCATCTTGCTCTTCTCAGTGCTGCCGCCACTGTGGAGGCCTGGATGCTCCAACCAACATGTTCCTTCACCATCCAGCAGAGACCAGTTGTGTACTTTCCACCTGACACACCGGGAGTATTTTCATTAAAGAATGTGTCTTGCTTTGTTAATTAAAAGCAACTGCTATCCAGGCACCAGCTTTTGCAAATCAAATTGGGATTTAAGGAAGACAGCATGTTATTTTCACTCAGTTTAAACCTCTGCACTGCTAGCAGACAGCCATGCTTGCTAAATGCTGAAATGAAAAAATACAGCTCCTCAGCTGGCTTGGGCTTCCCAGTGCTCGATAGCAGTCATGTACTGCTGCTTAAAGAAGCTGTGGATGCCCCATCGCTGGCAATGTTCAAGGCCAAGCTGGATGGAGCCCTGAGCAACCTGGTCTAGTGGAAGGTGTCCCTGGCTATGGCAGGGGGTTGGAGCTAAATGATCTTTAAGGTCCTCTCCAACCCAAACCCCTCTATGATTCTGTGTACAATCCCAGGAATTGTGTCTCTCCCTGGAGCTCAGGGCTGGTTCAGCCTTTCCCACATCCAGCCCACCACCCTCACACAGTGTAAGAACAGCACAGAGCAGTTTCTGCCTGAGATGATGGAGTGTAGGATTCCTGCTGGTTATCCCTTAGCTCCCTGCAAAGCCTGAAAGCTTCAGTGATCTGCCCTCGCCCCAGAAAAATTCTCATAGAATTAGAGCAAGTAATTGATATGTGTGAGTGAACTGCAGATGTGTTACCAGTAAAATGTGTACAGTACATGTTATATATACATATATATATACATACACACTGTGCTGTCTGTCTTGTTTGGCTGTCCCAAGGATGTCACATTCCTCATGGGTCTCAATAAAACCAGAGTCAAATGAGGCATGCATTGTTTTGTATGTTGTCTTTTGTACTTCAGTAACTTTAAGTCAGCAAGAATATTTCCATGGTATACAAATAGTTCTTCAAGTAATTTGTTCTTAATTACTTTATGTAAAATAGCTCTAATAAACCGATTCTATTCTTATATTTATTGCATTGTCTTTCGTTTCCATTGCCAACTAAATTCTGTGCTACAAGACTGCATCATGAGAGCAGACAGAATTTCTCCTTTCTGTGAAACATCTTTATAAGAATCTGGAATGTGTATGGTTGGAGGAGTTGTTGAGATACTTGTTTCAGGGAGACAGAGAAGGACAGGGCATCTGCCTGTGTGACCTCAGCTCAAGCAGTGTCTCGAGCAGTGCTTGAGCTGAGGACAGCAGTTGTAGAGCTGGCTGTGCCAGCCACTCAGGGAATCTGGTTGCCAGTGCTCCTTGCTCGTGCCACATGAGGCGAAGTCTGTTTATTTGTACTTCAGTGTTACAGCGGGTCCAGGAGATCATCTGCTGATGCTGCCCATTTCCAGTTTGGGAGTACAGCCTCTCTTCCATCCCAGCCCCCAGCAGACATGGCAAATAGCACAAAGCCCAAAAGGCCACATTTTAAATTCAGCTTTCTAGGGAAGACTCACTGCCCATTTGGTTTGGGGTCTTATTTTCCATTATTGAAATTTGCGTTGGGTTTTAATTAAATACCTAAATGTCATTCATCACCTTACCAAAGCAGCAAGAAAAGTGGTCTCTCTGTGCCCACCGTGCTCCTATTACCAGAACCCATTACCCTGGCACACAGCCAGCAGCAGAACAAAAGGTTTGGTTTTGTTGTGCCGGGCAGGGCATCAGCAAGGTCTGGCACAAAGCACAAGCTGGCCAGTGCAGCCATGGTGCAAGAGGCTGCTCAGCTTTCCAGTCACTCCACCCAACAGCAGGCTTTCTTTCTGTGCTGCTGCTAGTGGAATAAACCTTCACGGATTTTGCGTATGACAGCGGAGAGTGAACGCCTGCAAGCAGAGAGCAGCAGACAGCCAGCAAGGTACAGGAGTCTGGTTAGTGCTGCCTGAGAGTGGCCAATCTTCCCAGGGAGTCTTCTTTCTGGGATGGGAGATGATGACAATTGCTGCCCTGTGGGCCACCAGCTTGAGGCCTGTTACTTCCCAGGTGACAGCGACTCAGGGCTGGAGTGAAATAAAATCGTTTTCACCTTAGCAGAGAGCCTGGGGGCATTGTCAGCTGGATGGAGAGCAAGACAAAGTTGGCAAAGTAGCAGATTGGCTTGGAAGCTCCTGCAATTAACACACACTGGTCTCAATATCATGTGTTTGCATTTAATGGCTTTCATGCTATTTGATTTTAAATAAGTCATACTGAACTACTGAGCTAGAGCACACCTGGGAGTAGCTGAAAATACTGTAAACATGCTCAGGATGCTTTCCCCCTTTTCCCCAGGCAGTCACTGCCTCCGGCTAATACCACTTCCATAGCCCCTTCCCAGCCACTCCCAAGGTTGGGGCTCTCCCTCTGAAGTCAAAGGAGTGATCAGAGCAGGCAGTGCTTCTAGTCCATCTTCATGGCTCCTCATGTAGACCCCAGAGCTGGGGAGTTTTAGAGAGTCACAGATGACAGAATATTTCTGTGTCAAAAGGGACCTACCTACAAGTGTTTATCCAGTAGCAGAAGTGAGCCACACTGTGTGAAAGTCTCAGATCTGTTTTTCCTGTCCTAAACACTGTGAATATCTGGACTAAGCATAATGGACTAAGCATATCTATGAATATGCTTAGTCCACCTATTCTTACCAGCATCTTAGGTAAGCAGGGAATATTGACTACCCTGTCTGCATAGCCCTGTGGATGTTGCTCCTCTGTGTATTAGAAGAGGTTATTAAAATTTCTTTTGCAAGTGTATTTTAATGTTGACCGAGATTATTTCATTTAGACTTTTTTAAAACTGTTTTGCCCTTCAGACAGCTTAAGGATACAAATTACTTCAGAGTAGCAAACAATACAATACTTACCTAGGTTTGATCGGTATTTAGAAGTAAGGAGTATTTTTTTCCATAATATGGGCAGCTTACTGCCCACTTTTGCAGGGGATGCGAGCCTGAACATCTCACTCAATAGCATTATAGGATAATAGCAGGGGCAGTTCCAAGAGCACATTTACAAAACAAAAAGGCTGAAATAGGTCAGTGTGATGCTCCATTTGCTTTTCAAATCCTACATAAAGCGTTAAGAGTTTCAATCCCAAACTGCACAGAGCCAGCCAGAGGCATGAACCAATAGCAACAGAAACATGCCACCCCAAAACAAAGGGAGAGCCTTTCTAGTAAGCCCTAACAGAATCCACAGTCACGCATCACTGAGATCTGTGCTGGCTGTTTTCATGTGCATCAGGAATTGGGACTTTTCAGTTTCTAATGGCAATAGCTAAAAGAGTAAGAGCAAAGGGAAAAGCTAGAGAAGATTCAGCGAGTGCTGATGGGCATAAAGACCAGACAGAGGCAATAAACACACATTCATTAATATGAAAAAGAGCCCATGACACACTTGGTCTGAGCTGAGTGACCAGGAAACATGCTGTAAACAAGGAATATTTAAAGGGGGAAAAATGTGTAAAAGTAACTCTGCTCTATATTTTTCAAGTAATAGTTACTTAAAACAACTGAAAAAGTGAGCTGCACTCTGCACTGGAGGCCTGAAACACAAAGAAAGAGAAATCTAGAATTACTGGATCAGCACACCTCAGAAGCTAAAATTTTAATTTTTGCAGTTATAAGGCTCCTGGCTGACAGTTATAAACCACTCATAAATCAATGAAAAGTGTATTTTGAGCAAGTTGGCAGAAACCAGACAAGACACAATCAGTGAACGACTGAGTCACCACTTCCTTGGCCAACAGAAATGTATAATTCTGTTCTAAAGAGGGCAGAACAAGACATTTTAACATAGCTCTTAAAACTACCAGATCCTAATGCATTAAAGAGATGAATTTAAGCTTTCTACACTCAAACGAAGTGCCTGGGCAACACAGATATAGAGGGAGTAGGGAACTTGAATAAGTCCAGGACTGTAAAGGACTTGAAAGCTGGCAGCCCAGTGGAAGATTAGGCCTGTAGGGAAAGCATGCCTGAAGGCTAATTCCATGCCCAAGAGATGACTGTCCTAAGGCTGCCTCTATACCCAGAGCAGAGGA